GAAGACCCCCCATCTCTTGATTCTGAAATTACAATGGTATTAGAAATAGATAGAGGTGCAATGATATGGCGATATACTGGTATATTGCGATGCAACGTCAGGGCAATATGTACCGCGGTACTGAAACCTGGCATCACGATATTTTTTAAAATATTTGTCCCTGTTTGATCAAAATATATTTTTACATATTTTGACTTTTCCAAGACTTACATTGTAAACATGTAAAATTTTTATAAATTGCTGCTGCATATCAATTTATCTAGACTATCAATTAATCTAGACTTGACAATACTGACAAAGTTTTTTTCATTTTTATCGTATAAATGCATCTATTTTTGATGATAAAAAAGCTAAGCTAATAATTATTTAACAGATTGGTATAATGTACGTACTGAGTTTAACCCTCTCCTGTTCTTTATTCATCTTCAGGTCAGCTAGTAGTTGTTTTTGCCCCTCTATCTCTGTGTTCAGACGAAGCTGGGTTCGAGACTCAATCGCACTGTTTTGCATCATCTGCCAATTAACAAAGACATAAGCATAGAAAATTAACTTCTGCTTTATTTTTTCTTTCTTTTTTTTTACCAAAAAGCGTATTTTTATTTCTGCTATACTCTATATTCAAATTCTTCGACTTAAGGTAGACCATGGGTAATGCATTACCTCCACTTTGAGGGTAGGGTAACATTTTTATACATATTAAGAACATTTTGTTTAGAAACAAACATTTTGCTTGTGTAATTTGTTACCTGAATGTTATTATTTGTTTCTTAACAATGGGCAATAGAAAAACATTTTTTATAATGATGATATTACAGATTATTTAGAGTTTCCTCATTTCTGAAAATAAGCCCTTCTAATGACAAAGTCTTAGTTTAGAAATATATCTATAACTCATAAACCACACGGTAAATTTTATTTAAATTTTGCATACAGGTGACCTTGAATACATATAACTGTCCTATGTTGTTAATTTTACAGTTCCTTATGGTGCCCATTACCCATGGTCTACCTTAAAGGGTCCAAAATTCAAACATTCAATCAGTTGTTTTTTTTTAAAGAATATACTGTATTTTTGTTTTATCATAATTATAAGCATTAGTGAAACTTAAAATAAAATGAACTTCATTTAAAAAACCTATTCAAATAAGCACTATTTCCCTTAGGTTATAAAAATATAACACGTGTGTAGATCCATATTCTTTGTATTTTGTATTGTATATTGCTGGACTCATGCTGCAATATATTAATTGAAAGATTCTGTTTCTATTTATTTCCACTTTAACATCACATTCTGTTTAGCATATAGTTAAATGTACGTTGGATCATTTGTTATTTTATAAATGAAGAAGACAAAACGTGAAAAGCTAAGAAAAAGTGTTTGTTTCACTGGGACTGATTATTGAAAAATAGGTCAATCATTGAATTTGACATCATTTATTACTGTACTTCAACAATGAACTTGTCCTACTTCCAAGTTAGAAGAGCTTATAAGTAGTTTCAGATATTTCAATAACAAATACTGAATGTGAATATCCATCAGACTGCACAAACAAACATGCATGCTAGCCATCCTCTATATTGGTGGCATAAACTTGTCATTTTAACTGTTATCTGTCTAAGCTATAAATGAGCCGGGTCATGACAAAACCAACATAATGGGTTTGCGACCAGCATGGATCCAGATCAGCCTGCGCATCTGCGCAGTCTGATCAGGATCCATGCTGTTTGCTTACAAACTCTATAACAAGTAGAGAAACTGATAGCGAACAGCATGGATCCTGATCAGACTGCCCAGATGCGCAGGCTGGTCTGGATCCATGCTGGTTGCAAACCCATTATGTTGGTTTTGTCATGGCGTGGCTCAAATATCGTAAAAATACCTGTAATTGATCGCTGGAATGGTACCCTCTAAAGACTATTTTCTGTAACTGGTACCCTATCTTTTCTGCTCTCTGTTCTAACTGAGTATATGATGTTAAATCACTGAGTTTGTGCGACTCTTTCAAAAACTGCTCAAAGCTAAAACAAAGTCATAAAGAAGGAGACGTTTAAATGATGATAACAAAAAACATTACAATACTATCATAGACTAAAGCTAATAAGAATATTATCATTATATGAGCTATCAATTTCCTTCATCTGTAAATTCTGGAGTATAAATTAGGAGAAGATCTCAATAAGACATGTCTTTCATTCTCATCCTTTTCCATTATGTAAAAAAAATCTTGTTTGTTGTTTACTTGTATGTTCATTATATATAATTCTGGAAATAAATATGCTTAAATCAAATTGTGGAAACCAGTTAAATATTACATGAATATGAAACTGATTTACAATTTGTCTTAACTAGCTTACAACAGAAAACAAACACTCTTTGTAAGTAAGTACATGTACTAACCTTAACTTGCCAGTAAATGCTATCACATCTGTACATGTACTAACCTTAACTTGCCAGTAAATGCTATCACATCTGTACATGTACTTACCTTAACTTGCCAGTAAATGCTATCACATCTGTACATGTACTTACCTTAACTTGCCTGTAAATGCTATCACATCTGTACATGTACTTACCTTAACTTGCCAGTAAATGCTATCACATCTGTACATGTACTTACCTTAACTTGCCAGTAAATGCTATCACATCTGTACATGTACTTACCTTAACTTGCCAGAAAATGCTATCACATCTGTACATGTACTTACCTTAACTTGCCAGAAAATGCTATCACATCTGTACATGTACTTACCTTAACTTGCCAGTAAATGCTATCACATCTGTACATGTACTTACCTTAACTTGCCAGTAAATGCTATCACATCTGCACATGTACTAACCTTAACTTGCCAGTAAATGCTATCACATCTGCACATGTACTAACCTAAACTTGCCAGTAAATGCTATCACATCTGCACATGTACTAACCTTAACTTGCCAGTAAATGCTATCACATCTGCACATGTACTAACCTTAACTTGCCAGTAAATGCTATCACATCTGCACATGTACTAACCTTAACTTGCCAGTAAATGCTATCACATCTGCACATGTACTAACCTTAACTTGCCAGTAAATGCTATCACATCTGCACATGTACTAACCTTAACTTGCCAGTAAATGCTATCACATCTGCACATGTACTAACCTTAACTTGCCAGTAAATGCTATCACATCTGCACATGTACTAACCTTAACTTGCCAGTAAATGCTATCACATCTGCACATGTACTAACCTTAACTTGCCAGTAAATGCTATCACATCTGCACATGTACTAACCTTAACTTGCCAGTAAATGCTATCACATCAGCACATGTACTAACCTTAACTTGCCAGTAAATGCTATCACATCTGCACATGTACTAACCTTAACTTGCCAGTAAATGCTATCACATCAGCACATGTACTAACCTTAACTTGCCAGTAAATGCTATCACATCTGCACATGTACTAACCTTAACTTGCCAGTAAATGCTATCACATCTGCACATGTACTTACCTTAACTTGCCAGTAAATGCTATCACATCTGCACATGTACTAACCTTAACTTGCCAGTAAATGCTATCACATCTGCACACATTCCACTGTAATTATGAAAATATATGTTTAATTAAATGCCCCAGTATTATAATGCTCAAATGTTGTTTATCTCATATATAACACATATAACAAATTAGTTATATTCAAACAATAATCTAGATTTTATTGCACTAGCCTTAGGATTCTTTCGATCATCAAATAACATAACATTACACATTGTATATTTAATCATAAAATCAACATATCTTCTCAACAGATTTTGAATTATATAAAATTTACTAATCTGCTTCATGTGTACTTATAATTTGATTACAAAATAAAATATATTTTTGTGCTTAAACTACATGTAAGTAGGCTCTAAGTATTCTTTGGTTTTTGAGCATAGAAAAACAAAGCCACTAAAGTTTAAAAAAAAATAATGTTAAAATCAGGTTGATAAAATTACAATAATAAAATTTATGAAAAATTCCTTAACATCTGAATAAAGATTAAAATACTTGTACAATGTAATTAAGTAAGATGTTTGTATTGTTAAATTAGTATGGATTCAATAACAGTAAAGTCTATCATATTAATTTCAAAGTGTCATTAACACTGCTAAGGCTATATGGTGACAGAATAGCTTAACTGATGCAGGAATATATCTCTATGCAATATATAAGACATAAGCTTGCACCAGGGTAGAACCATCTGCATTTTACATAGTTTCTACAGAAGAAAGACATCTTTTATGCTAGAATTAAAATCTCACATCAACAATAGTAATTTACAGTCAAAACTGTCTTAAGCAACCAGCCAAGGGATGCAGCTGTTTTGGCTGCTTAAGACAGGTGGCTGCTGAATGGAGGATCCAGTTTTTATTCAAATATATTCTTTATTTTTTAAAAAAAGGTTATATATATTCAAAGTGGACAAACAAGCAATGTAATAAAAGTAAATTATTCTTACTTGATCATATCAGCTATTGGGTCGTGTGTTGTGTCAAGCTGCAAAATTATTGATAAAATACATCATTAATTGATATATATGAGATAACTTATAAATAGACTTTCTTCAGAATAAAAAATATTTGGATTCTCCCAGCTAATCACCCAGTACACAAAACTTTTACAGCTTTTTTTCATATTCATGTAATAAAAATATGAAATTCAATGCTCTAAATAATAATTCTATTAAATTGTGTAATTTCAAATTATGAAAAATAAAATATGTGTACATCAATATGTACATCATAGATGGGCTGCTGAAAATACTTCATCATTCAACTCATTTACTTTTATCTTAATTGACCTCTTCATATGCAACCTTAGAACTAAATTCAACTTAAGCCTTGAAAAACTTTCAACTCAATTAAATTGTATAACAATTAATTATAGGATATCATAAGACCTACCATTTTGAGAACATCTTTGAGCTCATAAAACAGCATCAACTTGACTGTGATCATAGTATCATCATTTGTTCTTACATCTCGTACCTGAATACAAATATATGAGCCGCGTCATGACAAAACCAACGAAATGCGTTTGCGACCAGCATGGATCAAGACCAGCCTGCGCATCCGCGCAGTCTGATCAGGATCTATGCTGTTTGCTTACAAACACTATTACAAGTAGAGAAACTTATAGCCAACAGCATGGATCCTGATCAGACTGCGTGGATGCGCAGGCTGGTTTGAATCCATGCTGGTCACAAACGCACTATGTTGGTCATGTCATGACGTGGCTCATAGCATATACAATATGTTAATTCAACATAAAACAGAGATTGTAAACCTTTAACTTGCTAAATTTCTTAAATTAACTTGTTGATCTTCCATTTTTTAACAGTCCATAATGATTTTGTGGGTATCAAGACGAAAATTTGAAGTTGGTCTGCGATTAGTATAGAGCCTGGACAACCTACCATACATAGATGTGCAGGCTGGCCTGGCTCTAACTTGTTACGAAGGCTAATTGCTTTCCATTCCAGCAGGTTACATGCTAAAAAATCCCTTTAATGCTTGGTGCTTAAAACTGATTTATAAGTAAAATTTTCAATAATGGCAGATTTTCTATATACATCCACTGCTGTTTCAATATAAAAAATATATAATATTTTAAAAGACTTTTTATGCTGTAACATGTATTTAAAAGCTGTTCTGTAAATAGAAAATTTGCTATTGCTTTCAAAAATGTATTGAACTTAAATTAGGGCTGTAAATGTTCTTAAATTCTAGTTTGAAGATAAATAGGTGACAAGAATACATTTTCTATTCTATCATTTATCACTACATATACAACTTAATGTTGTTCAGTATATTTGAAATAAAAGCTTATTAAATACATTGATAAAAATTGTAGTTTTCAGATAAAATATTCTATCTAAGTCAAGTTTTGCAGTCTGTCATTGGACAACTTGATGATTAGGAGGTTTATGTTAATTATACATTTTCTCTAAATATGACTTTATCTGACTAAAATTTTTTCCAAAGATCTAGGCATAATGATACAAAATAGAAATATCACTTAAATACACAACATCAAGCTCTTTTTTAAAATGCAATGATAATTCAAATACATGTTAAAATTATTTCTGACATCTTACATTGTAATAGAACTGTTCTGGGATAACAGCAAGTTGATGGAATTTATCTTTGCCAGGAATCATCCTCGTTTTGTTGTCTGGGTCAGTACCATGCCATTTAAACTCATGTAACCTGAAATAATAGAATCTTATGAATAACTTTTTTGTAGAAAAATGATACAATGTCAAAAATAATAGATTACAAGAACAAATAAAATACTCTTATTTTACTGAAGTTTTAACCAATACAGAAAATACAAAAGAACTAATATTTATAAATCTTAAAGATAACAATGTATAATTTTTATAGAAATATTATAATTTAATAAAGACGAGACATTACTAACCCAGGTTCTATTTATTGAAAAAGCTCTTAGAATCAAGTTTTACATAATTCAGGGTTTCCACTGGCCAATTTTTGTTTTCCACCACTGGGGAGGAGCTACCTCCCGGATGTCAAAATTTTTTTAAATTCTCATTTTTTAATCTGATTACTATCTGAGATAATATAAATATGTTATAAATACATGTATAAAATCAACATTTTAGCTACACTATAAATCATATGTTATAATAATAAAATGTGAGTGAGTACACACCATTCTTCTGCCTCTGGTACAAATACAGTCGGACCTTGTATAATTCTTCGTTGTACCGTGCTGTCCTTTAACCTCTTATATACAACAATCATGTGGTTAGCATCTAGCTTCAGTGCATCCATCACATTTATATTCTCATGTAACATTGGGTTGAAAAATATCTCACACGGTCTGTAATAAAATACATTTATACACTTGTTACTATAAATACACTGCAGTAACAAATTACTATAAAAACATAAAATAGTAACAAATTTTATGATGATTTCAACTGACTATGAGTGTCATGTAAAGTGTCATTTAAATTAATTAAATGTCTGGCAGTATAGAAACAAGTTGATTTGTTTTCCTTACAGTGATGATTTAAATGCGAGTACTTTATATATAACCATGCGGCTGGATTACTTTGCCCGACACAGGTTTACTTTATTTACATGTATTGTCCTTCAATCTTTTTATTGCTTTTTGCTCTAGTGAATTTAAAGTGGCTGTGATCAGGAGGATGAAGTACCAACACCACTTTATTGCTTTGTTTCTGTGAGTCTGAACCAGTATTTTAATTTAATTAACTGTCCATATATACAGAAGAAAAAATATACTTTGAAATAAATGACAAATGCCAAATTACGTGTTCACTAACCCAGGTTTGTGAGTAACAATTCCATTGTTATCCCTGATTTTCAAATACTCATGTTGTGTTGCTGTGTGTCTTTTCAACTTCTGTAACCTCTCCCTGAACAAAAACACCTGTAAAATATTACCACACCTACATTGTATAATTTGATATCATATCAGACAATTATTGTTGAAAAATAATTATTTATCCTAAGGAGAATCAGTTACCCTACAAGTAAATCATTAAATAATGATTTGGAATAAATTTAAATATAATTCTAATTAAAATTTGTTTATTTTGTATATTTTTTTTCACCATTGGCTAATATAGTATATTTTTTTCAATTAGAAATGTCAAATGTATTTCAGCTTGGATTCTTAAAACCATTAACAGAATATTTTCATACATAATTATGCATTATGCAGTCATAGCAAGATTTAGAAGAAGCACTTGTCAAATAACTTTTAAAGCAAATTATGGAACTTAACCAGAACTTCGGGCATTAAGTAGTGTTATTTACAACTAAATAAATTTTAGAGTAAAACAAAAACGCAGATCTTTTTCTAACTTTTCTTTACTAAACACTTCAGAAAATCTGTTCAACATTCTATTCACAATTACCCTAATGATTGAGCTAGTAGGCTAAATAATGAATAATTTCATAGCTATGTACAGGCAAATGTACTAACATTCTGGGGAAATCAACATTAAATATTTGCTTGAATGAAAACCCAAAGTAACCTTAATCACAATTATCTTTCTTTTTCCCTAACATTTGCAACAAAATTTTTATAACATTGCTTATCAATGATGTACATGTACAATGTAGTTATGATAATGAATATCAAAGTTAGACGAGAGCATATTTGTTACTTGGCTTTGCAGGCGTCGATAAATTTTTTGAAGAGTCACCCGCCCAGCCAGGTGAGTGACCCTTCAAATTTACTCACCCTTCATGAAATGTACTCATCATGCATTTTGACAGACAAAATTTGTAAAAATCAACATACGTCTCTAATTTACTATTTACAGGTCTATATCAGTAAAATTGGCTTTATTCATTTACATATTTAAAATAATGTTTATAATCCTTCGCATTAATATATAAAATCTTCAACATAACCTAAATACTAATTTCATTTAAATTTTAACGCACATGCCCACTCAGCTAAAATACTGATAGCTAGCATAAAACATTACTGAATGCGCATGTCTCAAACATTGTCAAATGCTGCTGTCGTTACGGTTACGAAATCAATTCATCATACGCGTTTGACTAGCAATGGTTTATCTCTCTTAATTGGGAAGATGCATTAGCCTCTTCATTTTGGGAAAAGTTAATGCTAAAAATGCTGATTTCGGGAGTAAAAAGCTGGTTTAAGTTCAGATTTTTAGGAAAACTGCATGATTTTAAAGAGAATTTCAATTGGGAAGAGGCCTTTTTTCGGAGTCTGTTATATCAGTAGGACTAGGAAAATCACTGACTAGTCATAAGATCAATTTCCAGCTTTTTTGAAATAGCGTTGACCTGCAGTTTGAATTTTTTACCGGAAAACTTCATTTACATTAAAAGTTTAGCGAAACATCATTTGGATCTGATGAATCTTACTAGCCATGTCGGGCAAGTGGATTTGTCATGGCCTGCTATGTGCCTTGTACAGGTCTGAGATCTTGACAATTGACAGGTACATCAGGCTCAACCATAACATACTTTATTCTTTTTATAGACAATTGATACTTCATTTACTCTAAAAATCATACACATTATTACCCTGTGATGCTTTGTGTATGCTAAAATTTATGAGAAATGATAATCAATGTTTATAATGATTACTGTAGTAGTTATATATACCCGTGCAGGTCCAACCACAAGTCTACCTTCCCCAAGATGGTTGAATATCACTGCTTGTTCACCTTCTAAAACTGTCTTGAATTTCATTTTCTATCTTTACCAATTTAAACAACAAATTGGTATAGTGCAATATCAATAACTTGATATTTTATCCGAAATAGCGTATCCGAATATTCTTTTACTAATAACTTTGTTGACATTACAGACAGGAGCATTCGATTTTGATTTACATGTCACTCACGTATTGAACACATAATTATTTACGTGTTTATTTCATATGGGTACTTTATTTTATTTCAAAAGTCTTCTAATTACTAATTTCTAAATTTATCAAGCAGGAAGTCACGAAACGGTGTTGCGTAAAAATTGTTATGTATATCTTTGTACACTTTACGTTTAAGGCCACGCATTAGGCTACTAAATACATCCACAGGCACGATTATCGGACCTGGGAAGAAAACATGACCACGTTGTTAATAAAACCTCTGTGTTCATCTTAAATGTGTCAAAAAAATCGAAATATGAGCCCCCTTAAAAATATACACATTTAAGATGAACACAGAGATTTTTTTTTATCAATGTGGTCATATTTTCTTCGCACGTACCTGTGAATACATCTACAGCAGTAAGTAAGACGAGAAATACCGTTGCTTAATTCTTAAATTGGTTACTTACCAAAGACAGTTATGCTTCAAGAAAACCGGGGTTTCAAACATTTCAATCATAGATTTTTTTTATTGTTACTTCATTGAAGAATAAGAGTCTTTCGAGGCTGTTTCACAAATCTATAATTTAAGTAAGAGCGATACTACTTTTCTTTTTAAACTTTTATAAATGTTTATAGGAAAAGAGCATTGTGCACGGCTATGAAGTCAAGATCAAGTGATAGTGGACATGGCAAACAGATATGAACCTAGCTTGTTCTCAGACGAATTTTCTGGTTGCAAAAAAAAATCAAGCCCAATCTATCTTGCATTTAGGAGCTGATTTTAATCAGATTGTGCACAAGCAATAGAATAAAAAGCTCAGTTAGATCGCACAGGGTATCGTGGTTCACAATACATTGTACATGATGTAGCTGTGATTTACGAAAACGACCCAGGTTGTAGTGAAAATTAGAACTATACCTATTTATACGAATTATGTAATACTGATACGATTTTCTATCATGAGATAACAGTAAGCAAAAATGTTGATTGTAAAAAGAAATATCATCATGTATAAGTTAAGCCTCTATCACATCAGCCGCACGAAATTTGGTTCGCACGATTTGTAAAGAAATCTGTGTCGTAGAAAGCATGGAAAGGTCGCAGGCAATTTTGACATAACATAAAAAGTCTAACCTTCATGAGTGTCGCACGGGGTATTTAACCAAATTGTTAGTGCTCAGATTTCTATAGTTGAGGTTTCTTCAGAATACAGAAAATCATGGTGAATTTTCAAATGTTTCATTTATATGTAAATTTATACACAAGTCCTTGCATGCGTCCATGCCTATATGGGGTTTTTGTTATAGTCATGTGAAAACGTGACTTCCTGGTGCAGAATTTGTATAGGTAAACATGTCGTTTTGTTTTTATAGTTTTGCTATTTTTAATTTAAAGAAAGAAGTAAAACGCCCAGTTAACTAAGGACTTGTGTACTTTCACAAATCATGAACTAACCTTTAACTTTAAACTAATTACTTAACACTAAATGGTGTACGTGACTCCAACATAACCGAATTATTGAACACATTTTGAAGAAAAAATTCCCTTCTTTTCCAGTTTAGATTGACGTACATGTATATAATAATAATGTATGTATAAGTTCTCGTGACATTCCGTTTCTACTACAGCAACAAATTAATTTTAAGCTATACTGTTTATATATTCCAACATTTATTTAAAATAATTTGCATAATAACTACAGTATACATACAAATAAAGGTTCGAAAATATTACTTTTAAGTATGATATTGATATCGCACGGCACGCAGCAAATCTATGCATGGGATAACTTTGATATTCTTTTTACCCATGTAACCCGTCATTTTACTTTCTTTTATTCCCGTAGCTCACAATGTAATGGTGACAAGTACGGGGTGAATCTCATAATGTATGACTGGACAAAAACCCAAGCTTCATTTTGTCTTCTGAGTACGGATGGATCATGACCTCATGGGACCATACATTAATTTGCCAAACCTTTGACTCAAAAACAAATTCAAAATGTAGTTGAAATGTAAGAAATATCAAACTCTAAAGGGAATCAGTTTGAAAATGTCACAAAAAGAGTTGTAAATAGTGATACTATATTTGATCTATGAAAGACATGCACTGTATATTCCTTATAGTTTTGAATATACATGCATTTGCCTAATTTAATGATATGGATCACATATATTAATAACTAATATATTTTTACAATTTCATAACATCACATGTTTATGTTTAACTGATATATTTTGACGAAAATATTCCATTTGATTTCTAATTTTGGTTGAATGCTTTATCTGATCAATTTGACAAAAGAAACTACAATACACAGTTTCAAAAAGAAATATGAAAACCAATGAAATGTAAGGACATTTGGTATAAAAAGATTTACAACTTGACAAAAATTTAAAAGTGTTATTCAAGGATAAGAAACCTGTTATGAAAACCTAGTAGGATAAAAGGATATTATTAACTGGTAAAAATTAATAATCATTTCCATTTTCAATAATGTTCTCAAATAACAAGAAAGATATTGAAATAAATATATTATACAAATATGGACTTTTTAGCTGTTGAATATGATGTGATATGTACTGAAAAAATTAATATTGACCGAGGCGATAGCCGAGGTCAATATTAATTTTTCAGTACATATCACATCATATTCAACAGGTAAAAAGTACATATCTGTTTTATTATATAATTTATAAATAGCTTTTATATGGCTTATCACATCTGCCATTGCATACAACGGAAATTATTATTTTTCAGCTTGTCTGCTGTTTCCATTATTTGGCCCTTTCCATTGGCATGCTAATCCCTATTGTTCATAAAAATGTAAAACGGTAACTAAAATAGACTAATTTGACTCTTATGTCCACCCCACTCAACGTTTTTAGCATAAAATATAGAATAATAACAACAAACTTGGCGTGATGTCACGTCAAAGTCTCGCGTCTTTTAGGGATTTCCAGAAAATCTATTTTTAGAAGAAAAACCGGTGAATATACTCTGAAAATCTATTTTTAGGAAAAAAACAGTGAATATACTCTGATATTGACCTGTTATTTTTTACAAAAAGTTGCTTGTTAGCCAATCAGGGAAAGGCATTTCAAAGCTATTTATAGATTATATAATAAATATATATATTTCTTAATTATCTTCAAGAGTAAAGATATATCAGATCGTACTTTTTTCTTTAAAAAAGAGAAGAAAACAAATAAGACATTATATATGGACCTACGAGTATATTCACAAAGACATGCTAAGAATTCAATTTGTCGGAAAGAAATATACACGGATACATCTTAATGATAATTGATCATTTTTTTCCACCAATACTAACCAATACTACGGTATTTTCCTGCGAAACGTGCACTGTAATACCACACTTTGGGGACAAACGCACTCTGGGTCCGACCCCTAAGTGCGGTACAAAGTACATATCAACGCACTTTGGGTTTAAGAGATCTGAGAATGTCAACTGACTTCTTCTTAAATACCGAATACTGAGACAGATATCTTTTTCCGAAAATTACAAAATATGCATAATTGAAAATAATTCCTGCCATAATTGGACAGGAATTTCATTTAAATAATTATACACTTATGATCTTGTTAAGGATGTTGGATTCTTATAATATGGCATCCATCTTGGAAGCCATCTAAAATGTTTCATTTTACAAAAAAACTATTATTAATATCAAGTCAGAATTAACTAGAAAAAGGGTAAATCCAGATTTTTAATGGGTCCTGAACAGATCATATCGTATAAAGAACTGGATTTTATTTAGATGGAAATACAAAAATGTATGTGTGACATGCAATCTCTACAATTATCGGCACACAACGCTAGTTCATGGATATGTTATCTAATGTATTATTACACACAATACATATCACACATATCAATATATCGTATAACTTTAAGGCCAGTATCCAAAGACACAATTATTTGAATATAAAACACAATTATAATAAATTGTAACCATTAGATATAACAACTTAAAATAATCAATCGTCTGCTATTGTAAGCCAACTAAATACACATCTCGCCTACTTCGATCTACAATTAACTATATCAACCACAAGATATTATTTTAAAATATCACTTAAATTCGTTCTTATTGATTGATTTTTATGAACCTAAAGTGCGGTCATTTGCTCGATGTCAAAAAATGCTTATGTACCTGTGTACCGCCTTTGGGGGTCAAACTTTGACATCAAAAGTGCGTAACGCACTTTGGGACCGGACCTCAAAGTGCGTTTGACTCTAAAGTGCGGTGTTACATTGCACTAATGATCTATTAAATTACACATAATACAATAGTGAACTTATTATTCTTAATACTAGTAACGTAACAGTGCTCTTTACTAACATGGAAACAACTTCAGCTTTACAATTCCATAACTCAGATATTTTTTTATAATAATAATAATAATAATGAAAATAATAATAATAATAATAATAATAATAATAAAATAATAATACATTTTGTAATAATGATAATAATAATAATAATCGACTGAGGTCCGGAATCTTAGAAATATATAATTTGAATTTGTTAAAAAGATCTACTGGGGCACTTAAAGCAGAGAGATATGAAAACGAAAGTAAAAAAGTATTCTCAGAAATAAATTGAAAATCCTATTTTGATGCTATTCTTAGTCCGCTATGAGTGAAATGCGTTGCAACGCTTTTCAATTGTGGCCATTTTTCACAATTAAAATGACTGTTTATGAAAAACGGGCTGAGCGAATAATCTGAAATTGTGCACACAATTTATTGGTCAAGACCTTCATCAAATTAACATTTATCTCAAAATATCAGTTCCAGTCCCATCATGTCAAAAACTCTGAGTTGAGTCCCTTTAAATGCAATCATGTTGTTTTTTTTCAGATTTCCCAAGATGATTATAATTGCACCACTTTTCCTAGTTATTCTGCTCCACCAAAAATGCACTGCCACGAGTGAGCTGTGTCTGGGGATACACTGACATGTATCCATCAGCTTCCAAACAACATTCCCTCAAATGTTTCAAAAGTTGTTATAAAAGATTACCTAAACACTACAATAGACAGTTTAGCCTTCAACGGAACAAACTGGGACAAGATTACCTCCCTTGATATCACTGTGAACACTATCAAAAGTTTTTCTCTGGATCAAAATAATTT